TCTAAGAAAACTCCCCCAAAGGCAGCTTTGTTCTTTTCCATTCTGACGGTGGCTGCCCCTCCCCCCCGCACGCCCTCCCCTCGCACACGCGTGTGCACACGGCCTCGCTCCCTGGGAGCCCTCGGCAGGCCCCTGGTCCAGGCCAGCCCAGCAGAAAGGCCATCGGTGGGGGCCTGCAAGGTCCCGTGTCCTCTCAGCAGAGACCACTCCCCAAGCACTCTGCCTGGGCTTTGTGGGAGTTGGTGCTGGAGAAGGAATTGTGATTACTTGCTTTATTTTTGAATGTTTTTCCTTCTGGTCTTAAAAGCTATGCAAACTCTTTATTTAAAAACAAAAAGATGAGAGAAGAGAAAGAAACACCATCCCCTATCTCCGAGAAAAGGCTGGCACCGTGGGTGGACCAGCAGCACGCTGAGGGGGGCAGCCTGGTGGAGGGCCTGCGTTTTGCTGAGGGCACCAAGCCCTGTGGGGAGGCCTTGCCACTATCCCAGCCCTGCCAGATCCCCAGGGGACCCCAGAACTTCCCAAATGACCTCCTTCTAGAAGCTGGGCAGGTGCAAAGGGGCGGCCCAGGGACCCGGGTCTACCCTGCACCTCCAGACAGCAGGACACCTCCAGGCTCTCACACCCCACAGGCAGCCCTGGTGTGGCCTCCCCAGCTCCTGACTCCGGGTGGACCCGTCCTCCCTTCTGAACCCCCGTTTCTGAGAATGAGGTGGTTTTGGAGCTTGTGAGCAGAGGAGCAGTCAGCACTGGATGGTAGCCGAGCACTCGGAGCCAGGCCCCTGAGTACCCTGTCCCTGCAGCCTGGAGATCAGGCTGGTCCCTCCCCAAAGGCCTCGCAGTGGGCAGAGATTGGGGTGTGTGTGGGCGTACATGCCATGTGAGTGATTCTCTGTGGTCTGTGTGTGTGGAGTATGTGGTGTGTGGCCTGCGTGGTCTTTCTGTGTGGTATACACTGACCCATGTGTGTGGATTGTGTGGTCTGTGTGTGTGGTGTATATGGGCACATGTTTGGTCAGTGTGTGGTATGTACATTCACATGTATGTGGGTGTGTTTGGTCTGTGTGTGCACATGTGTGGTGTGTGTACATGCACACGTGTGTGTGAGTCCCGTGTGGTATGAGGGGAACAGCTGTGGGAGAGCCAGGGAGCTCCACTCTGGAGCTCCAGCCACCCTGGCTCTTGGCTGCCCTGGTCCTGTCAGTAGTCCCAGAAGGAGGTTTTGGGGTCACTCAGGTGTTGGGCTGGGTGTTCTCATTTGGCGAATGGGACCCTGGGGTTGGGGTGAGTCCTGGGCCAGCCTCTGGCCTGGCAGAAGCCATCCCTGCCCTTGCATCTACTGCAGGCTCCAGGCATCCACCTGCTGGGGCCGAGCTGAGGGCCACGACAGCCCAGAAAGGCTCAGAGGCGCCACGGCCTGGCTGCCACGTGGATCTCAGATGCTGGCCTCCAGCACCATGGGAGAAGAACGTGTGCTGTTCAGGCTGCCCAGTGCGCAGCTCGCCGTGGTGCTCTGTTACGCAGGAAGCTCCTGCACGGCCCTGACGCCTCCTCTAGGAAGCCTCCCAGTGGCTTCAGGGCAGGGATGTAGGGGTGGCTTTGTTTCAGGGCTCAGTACCGTCTTGTCCACATAATTTGGTTCAAATTGTGTACCTGAGGACTGAGAGTTTGGTTGACCATGACTGGTTTGGGGGCCGCCTGGGTGAGGGTGAACTGGGATTGGAAACCCTCCAGTTTACTTTGGTGTGGCCCTGCCCAGTGTGTTGCACCTGTGCCCCTTACAGAGGAGGAGGGCAGCTAGGAGGGACAGCGGCTTGCCCGGGGGGCTGGCCATGCCAAAACCCTGGCTGGTCAGGTAGCGCCTGAGGGGTGGGCTGTGTGGTTGGTGACTTAGTCAGTGACCAGGCTCAGCAGCAGGGCGAGCAGGCTGTCTCAGGCTCAGCGGTACCCCCACCACTGCTGTGGCCGTCTCCCCATGGCACCAGCTACTGTGGGTGGATGATTCCAGAGAACTGCCTCATGCTGGGCCCTGCCACCAAGGAGGCAGGTGCCCCTGGGGTAGGCTGGAGACCGTGAGTCTCTGCTGGGGCTGATGTTAGAGGGAAGGGTCTGGGGTCAAGACGGTGGCAACACAGCCTGGAATAGTGGAGTGGCCCAGAGCCAACCCGCAGAGCTTAACACAGCAGCCGGGGACCATGCTCCGATCATAGCGACTTCTGCATAAATCACCATGTAAGGACGTGTGCTCTGGACCCGCCCAGATGCGTGTTACTGCACAGCACGGCTTTGATGCCATCACCGCTGTTATCCAGAGAGAAGCAGCACCTCATCCTCCCGGACGCTCTTTCCCCGCTGGATTTATTCATCCACTCCACTTGTTCGTTTGGTGTCGCCCTTTTCTGGGAGCAGTGTGTAATTTTGTGTGCGCTTCGTCCTCCCCACAGCCTTCGGGGAGGTGGCCCCGACAGGGCGACGAGGGTTTTGCTCATCGTGGGAGGGGCTTGGTGGTGAGGTTGGTTCACAGTCCCAGGGGAGGCCCCTGCTGCCCTAGCATCCTTCTGTGAACTCATGCCACGTGCACCCCACAGTCATGCCCCGGCCATGGCTCAACAGGCCCCTATGCACTGGGCTCTGCATCCAGGCCTGGGCCACCTTGGACAGCTCCATGCCCTGCACCTTGGGCAGAAGGGGCTGAGGCAGGCCGGTCTGGTGCCCACTGGAGTTGTCCCCTGTGCCTCCTGGTCACAATCAGACACGGGCACTCCCCAGGGTTGAGGACAGCCTGAGCCGTGTTGGGTGTTGGAGTGAGAGAGCTGGACGACCCCTCCAAGTTCCTCCAAGCCACACCCTAGCAGTACATGTGATGTCTGCCCCGGCCAGGGTGCTGGGCTGGAGGACCCAGAGGTGAGAGATGACAAGGCAGGTGCCGGAGGAGGGGGCGTCTAAGGTTATCGTAGGAGAAAGAGTGGGATGGATAAGGAGGGGCACCCAGGCTGGAGAAACAACTGCTGGGAAGCGCCCAGGCATTGTCTGCAGGTTCCTTTCTGCAAGGGTGGAGTGGCCATCCTTCATCCCTCATGTACCCACCACGGCTTTCCTCGGAGTCACCTCCCTGCCATCCTGTTTTCTGAGCCCCCCAGGCAGCCCCCAGACTCTCTGCTGATCCCCACAGGCTGGGAACCCTGAGTCCGGGCATCTGTGATGCTGCCGCCATCTCCCCCAGGTGGAAGGGGCCCCTGGGGAGGAAACCACACTGTTTTCTCACTGCCGGGGCCCCAGGGTGCTGCACAGAGGGCTTGCGGCAGGCGCTCATTACCTACTCGGATGAAGGAGTGAGGCAGCCAGTGAGTGGACATCCAGGTGGTTCCAGGGAGCAGGTGTCCACGTGGAGCTGGATGGCAGGGGACCTGGCACTCACCATTCAGGGCGGATTTGGGCAGCACTGGCTGAGGGACAAGCTCCATCCTGCTCTGGGGGTGCTGGGTTTTCATCTTTACCTATAGCGCAGGCACTGTCTTTATTTGTCAGTGTTAATATCTGGCCGTGATTGGTGGTGGCTGTGCCGCGTTTTACCAGCAGAGTGGCGTCTTAAATTCCATGGGTTTATTTGCAGGGTAGAACTTCCTGGTGGTTCACCTTCCCGCTCCTGAGATGCCGGGGCTGCTGGCCTCTTGCAGAGACAGCCTTCTCTTTGGAATTTAGGGGATGTGGAGGGGGCAGCGAGGAAAGCCAGGGAAATTATTTATGCTGGCACCTTTGGAAGAACTGTGTCCCTTCTCTGTACCGCAGGTGATCTCAGACCCTGACTCTGCCCCCAGGGTGATCTCAGACCCTGCGTACTGCAGTGATCTCAGACCCTGACTCTGCCCCCAGGGTGATCTCAGACCTGACTCTGCCCCCAGGTGATCTCAGACCCTGACTCTGCCCCCAGGGTGATCTCAGACCCTGACTCTGCCCCCAGGGTGATCTCAGACCCTGACTCTGCCCCCAGGGTCCTTCCCACCTCCTTCCTGCCCTGTGGGGTGTCTGTAATGTGGGGAGCAGAGGTGGTATGACAAGAGAGATCAGGGATGCGGGGTGCCCCTGTGGGAGCCTGTCCACGACACCCATGGGTGATGGGTGTCTGCACAGCACATCCATGAAGCTTGTGTGTACCTGTGTGTGCATGGGCACGTGCACCCCTGGGGAGCATATCCTCATGTGCTGCTAGTGAGCCTGGGCCCCCTGGCCTTAGTGTGCTCATACCTGGGTGGCACCCGTGTAAACCTGCATGCCTATGGCTCACTCCAGGGGTGTGGTGTGTGCACATCTGTGCCTTGTGTGTGGCCGTGTGTGCCTGTGTGCATATATTTACATGCACATATGTATGTGGGGGCATGCACAGCGCTGTGGGAGGGCAGAGGAAACCCTGAACCCTTTGGCATTGATACACACAGTGGTGCCCGCCTGCTCATGCCTCTGTACCCAGGCGGGGATGGCAGTTCCTCCCTGGCAGCGTGGCTGGTTCCACACAGCCTTTCACAAGCCTGAGAGGGGGTCTGACCTGTTTTCTGGCTCCAAAATGCCATGCTCTGGGGCCAGTGTGCTGGCGCTTGGGGATGGGGACCAAGCACTGTGCCTCGTAGAGCCCGGCTTCCCTCCAGCAGGCGCCTGGTTGTGTGCAGGGGAGCCAGCTCCCTCCTCGTGATCCGAGCCTTTCATTTCCGGGCGTGACAAAGATGGGGCTGCGTTTAATTTCCTGTCTGCCAAGGCAGTGCCGCCTGAACGCCAGGCTGTGCGCAGCGTGGAGGTCGCCGACTTGACCCAGCTCTGGCTTCCATCGAGCGCTCCTTGCTGGCAGCCTTCGAGGTGCTTTCGGACGCTCCCTCTGAGTGAAGCGGTCTCCCTGCCCTGTGGCCTGGCCGCCGGGGGCCCCTCGGTGGGTGGGCTTTGGGTGGGCTCTGGCTATGGGTGTCTGTAACGTGTGGCCACTCATTCGCTTCTGCTCCTCTCTGCAGGTCAGCTGGCCGCCGGCACCTGTGAGATTGTGACCCTGGACCGGGACAGCAGCCAGCCTCGGAGGACGATCGCCCGGCAGACCGCCCGCTGTGCGTGTAGAAAGGGGCAGATCGCCGGCACCACGAGAGCCCGGCCCGCCTGTGTGGACGGTAAGCACCCGCGGCCCCGGGACCCCTCCGGGCGCTGAGCGCGGCATCACCGAGGGTGCCTCTTCCCCGATGCGGCCCCTTCCCTGAAGGTCCCCCTAGGCCTCGGCGTATCCTCGGGTCAGGCCCCTGGCCATTGGCACAGCTGCTCCCGTGGATGTGTGAGCTTGTGGCTTGGGGACTGCCTGGGGCGCAATCTCCAGTTCCTGGGGGTGGTCAGGGAGATGCCGGCGCCCTGCCTTACTTGCCTGTGTGTGGGGGTCTCTGGCCCGAGGCTGTGGTTCTTTGGTGTTGCCTCTGGGAGAGGAAAAGGATAGCAGAGGGGCCGTCTGCAGGACGGCGAGGTCCCCTGGGTGTCGTTCCGTCGTCTACGTGTGGTCTGGCCGAGGCTGCCAGCGGGACCTGGCTCCTCGTTTCTGGGTCTGACCAGTTCAGGACACTCTCGTGCCTAGGCTCGGGAGGCCGCAGCTCCGGCCCCCATGGGCTCTGAGCACGTGCAGAGGAGCGCTTGCTGTCAGCCGGCGGTGATCCCCGGCCCCTAGACGTCAAGCTGCTGACAAGCTGTGCCATCACTCAGCCTTGCTGGAAAGGGCACTTGGAAAGGGCACCTGCTATGAGGTGGCACAGGGTGGGAGGGGCTGTTCTGGCGTCTGGGGGGAGTCTGTCCACTGGTAGGGAACTCTGCTGTGCATATGCTGTGCCTGGCTGTGGGGGGAGTGTGGGCTTGACCAAGGTCATTGGTGACCAGCCAGGCTCAGAGGTCAGCGTGAGACCTGGGAACCCCACAGCCGGGACGTCCCCAAGGCCCAGTGTGTCCTGGGAAGGCGTCTAGTGTCAACACCAGCCAAAGGTCAGGGGTGGGCACGTAGGGCCAGCATTAAATCCAGGCTGCCCACCCCCTTGTGACGAGTGGGTGGGGAGACCCTGGGGCAGACATGGGCACTGCTATGGGCCTAGCCGGCAGCAGCCATGTGCCAGTCCAGGCAGCCATGGGGTGAAGGACCCCACGCAGGGGTATTGGATGCCTTGGTTCCAGGCGCAGCAGCTTGACCACAGTCCAGGAGAGAGTGCAGGGAGGGAGGGTCCCCTGTGGGTGAGATGCGGAGTCTGCTAGGCGGGGGGCCCTGAGGCCACTCCTTGGGGTGGAGAGAAACCAGCATCCCTGAGTGGCAGGCGTAGACTTGAGCTGCTGTAGGGTTGCCCTCGAGCTGCGGCCTGGTGGGGGCAGAGGCCCTGCAAAGCCAGGAGAAGGTGGGGCAGGGGCTGGGCAGGAGAAGATGGGGCAGGGGCTGGGCAGAGAAGATGGGGCAGGGGCTGGGCGGGAGAAGATGGGGCAGGGGCTGGGCAGGAGAAGATAGGGGCAGGGGCTGGGCAGGTGGAGTAAGGCTGAGGATATATAGGGGTGGCAGTGGCTGGTGGCCCCTCCAGGCCTTGATGGACTTCAGGGCAGCTGTATCCGTGGCATCCTGCACTGAGACATGGGTGCAGGCATCTCAGGCCAGGTGCAGCGCTCACTGGCCTTCTGGGGACGTGGTGCAGGGACCTGTGGAGATGGGTCCCAGACTCAGCTGGCCCACCCTGTGGAGGGCAGACCCCTGCCAGGCTTCCCAGGGCTGGATTTGGAGTCCAGGTTTTCTGACTCTGGTCAAGGGTCCCTTTCTCCCCTACTGCCCCTGCGGGGGCTCTAGATACCCAACTTCAGATCCCACCGCCTCTGCCCAGGAGCCTGACGTGGGCAGCCTTGCCCTTGTGCTGTGCTGTGATCTGGAACACGGGGTCAGGGATAGAGCCTGCTGCTTCCTAGGTGCTGGTGAAGGTCCATGGAGAGGGGATGGGGTACACAGAGATAGGGCCGAGCTATCCTGAGCACCCCACGGAGGGAGGCGGCTGCACTAGGAATAAGAACGCCCGTGTAAGCCGGGCGCAGTGACTCACGCCTGTAGTCCCAGTACTGTGGGAGGTTGAGGCAGGTGGATCACGAGGTCAGGAGTTCAAGACCAACCTGGTCAAAATGGTGAAACTCCATCTCCACTAAAAATACAAAATTAGCTGGGCGTGGTGGCGTGCACTTGTAATCCCAGCTACTTGGGAGGCTGAAGCGGAGAATTGCTTGAACCCAGGAGGCGGAGGTTGCAGTGAGCCGAGATCACACCACTGCACTCCAGCCTGGGCAACAGAGCGAGTCTCAAAAAAATAAATAAATAAATAAAAGAATGCCGGTATGACCGGGAGAAAGGTGTTCTAATAGGACAAGCCCTTGATCCTCCAAAGCCAGATAGACCCCTCTTGGGGTTCTCAGCAGAGTCAGGGCATGGTCAGGAGGAGCTTCCTCTGGGTGTCTCATTGATGAGCGTGTCCTAAGACTGTGCAGGAACAGGCCAGGCAGTGAGTGTGCCCCAGGACCCACTACGTGGACCCCTAACCCCTGTGGCCTTTACAGGAAGGGAAGGAGGGGAGGGGGCTGCGGGCTCTTAGCTGAAGGGAGCGCGCTCTGCCCAGGCTTCAGCACGTGCACCTCTCCTCCCCGCAGATGCCCTGTGCACCTGGGGGTTGCATGCACTTCTTAGGTGGGGTGCCCGGGAAGAACTCATGGGCCAGGTGGCCTTCCGGCTAGGCCACCTGTCTGTCTTCCCTAGACCCTGCAGCCGTTTGCCACCGGCCCTCCTGCCACCAGCCCTGAGGGTTTCTGGGAAGCTCTTTGGCATTTGGGAGGGGGATTGTGGGGCGAGAGGCTGAGCTTGCTGGAGTGGGCTGGAGGAGAGGGGAGCCATCAGAGGCTTCTGGTGCATTTTGAGGACCTGGGGCAGGAGGAGCGGGCCCTGGAGCCTTGTTTTTGTCCTTATTAAAAACATCTATCAATTTGCATCTGTGGAAGGCATGTGATTAAACACCAGGTACGCAGGGCCTCAGGGCCGCTCTGTGACTCTCAGGCCTCGGTTCTACAGAGCTGGATCCTGGGGCAAGCTGGGGCAGAGATGTGGCGGCCTTCTTTCCAGGGAAAGGGACTGCTTCTCCCACAGCCACTGCCCTCCTGGCTGCCTGTATCTGGAACCACTGGAACACATGGTGGCCAGGGCGCCTTCTCGGGAACACTGATGCTTCCCAAGACTGGGAAGGAGAGAGGTGCTCTGCACTGCCAAGGAGTTCACAGCCAGGCCGTCCTTTCTTCTCATGACTTCCGCCCACCTGTGGGGAGAGTTGGGGTCAGAATTGATTACTAATTGAATCTGGGTCTGCTCATCTGAAACCGCATTCACTTCCGTCTCACCAGGAGCCTCCTGTGCCTCAGGAGCCGGGTCCCAGAGACCCAAATTAAAACCGTACCATTTTCAAGGGGGGCCAAACAAATTAGTTAGCTTGCTTCTTTTTGCACAGTGGGCATTTTCCAGGCTGCCTTCTAATTTAATTTTTGCTTTTCTATTTTCTTGCTTTGTGTGCATAATAAGTTTCCTCGCTTGTGAATTGTGTTTGCTAAAGAGAAAACTTGTGCTGTGTTGGGCCGGGTTGGAACTGAATGTGAGTAGGGTTGAAATATTGCTGCCCCTACTGTGTTCCGTGACCACAGGCGCCCGGAATGCCGGAGGAAGCCTGACTGCTCACTTGTTCATTCGTTGGCTGCTTAATTATTCATACATTTGCTCACTCACTCATCTGTTGAAAGAAGGTGTATACCCATGGCAGCAGGGGAGGTGAACGGGGAAGTCAACTCAAAACACCCAATACAGAGAGCCATGCAGTGCTGCAGGTGCGGGAATTCAGACTGTGGCCCCAGAGTATCCTCACTTCTTCCTGCCGGGACCTCAGCAAGGATGCATCCATGAGGGGGCATTTGAATAGGGTATTGAGGGATGAAGAGGAGCTCACTAGAAATGCTTCTCTTTTTGAAAAGAGGGGGCCAATGATTAGAGACGAATTATAGCCTCCAGCCTCCCCGGCCTTGTCTCTGAGCCAAAGCATTTCTGGGTGAACCATGTCCCTGCCTGTACGGGGCAGGGCTGTGAGTCTGTGCACCTGCATGCGAGATCCAACTTATGGAACCATCAGTGAAAGATTCAAACACAAACCAGCCACGCACTGCGGTGCTTTCCATCCTTACATACAGTATCAACACTGTGGCGCTTTCCAGCCTCAAACACAAATATCAGCCACCGAGCCTCCCCTCCCCCAGGGCTGCCCTCTGAGGCAGGCACCCGGGTGGGTGATGCCCTGGTGGGCTGGGCAGGCCCTGCTTCTGCTCCTTTCTAGCTGTTTATGCAGCTGTGCCAGGTTCCCTTTTCCGTCATCACACCCGTGCCGGGTCCTGCTGCCACCACAGCACTGCACTGAGGACTGAGACCCTGTCCCCGAGTCCAGCGCTCACCCAGCCCTTGCCAGGCGTGCAGCAAGTGGCTGTACCTGGCCAGCCCTCCTCGCTGAAGCAAGGTCTTCCTGTATGAATAGAGGTGCTGTCTCCTGCAAGTCAAGTTCTCCTGCAACTCCTTTCCCAGGAAATCAAAGATTGCAGCCCAGTAGTGGGGGCAGCAGAGGGTGGTGGTTTGTGGGTGGGATTGCCCCAGAGCCGAGCCAGAGGGGTGAAGGGTGGGAGCCTCAAGTCTCGGGCCTGGGTGGGGGCAGTTTTCCCTGGGAGCTTTTGAGGGAGTGGTAAGGTGCAGTCGTGGCACTGCGCAGACCCAGTGTCAGGGCTGCAGTGGCCACTGGGAGGTGCGGGACATCCCGGGCTGACCAGTAGGTCTGGGGAGGCTGTGCCCAGGAAGGGGCAGGGTCGGAAGGCCCGGAAGTGGGGGCTGAGCGGAGCCTTGTATTCTCCAGGCATGAGGCCTTACAAGCCACCTGGGTCCTGGGCTGAGAAAAGAGACAGAAACACGCAAGTGGGCACTGCTGGGTTCCGGGCAGAGGTGTGGCGGCCGGAGTCTTTGCTTCTCCGTGTTGGGAGTTTGAGGCAGGTGTGGGACAGTAGAGGCCCTGCCCACTCTCAGGCCGTGTGGGTGGGCGGCAGTAGACGC